TTACGTATCTGTGCTGAATTATTATTCACATCCCTATGTAATCTGACGTCGCTGCTGTGAAACATGACCCATCATTGTGCAAGCTATTGGAGTCAGCGATCTATGGTCAAAACTCGTTGATGTGAAATCTTGTTGCTTTATCATTCGACGGCTGAAACTTTTTGTTGTTCGGACATGCCACTTTACCAGTTCATCGTTAAATCCTCAGCTGTGCAAATTTGCTCCATTGCCCTTTTTACGGTTGAAACTTTTGCTGTGCGAGGTTGCTACACTAAAAAAAAAAAAAAAAAAAAAGACAAATCGGTTGCGTGGCAGGACGCGCCCAACCTCGCTCCCTGCAGATCATCGAGGACCTCTGAAGTGGGCGCGGCGAAGTGACAGGCGCCGTGGCCCCTGGCTTCAGCGAACTGCAGGTGCCCCTCCCCAGGTTTCCTCATAACGTGGCGATTTTGCTACGTGCTGATCTTGTCACGTGGCCATCTTGCCACGTGGCAATCTTGCCACGTTGCGATCTTGCCCAGAGGTGGGCGGAGGCGCGCGGAGGGGATCGGGATCGGGATCGGGAAGCAGAATTGGAGGTAGCGAAGTTGCCACGTGCCGAACTTGCCACGTGGCGATCTTGCCACAGGCCGAAGCGGAGGGGGAGGTGGCGAACTTGCCACAGGCCAAAGCGGAGAGCGGAAGCGGAAGCGGCGAGAAGCGGAGCCCGAAGCGGAGAGCAGCGGAGCCCGAAGCGGAGAGCAGCGGAGCCCGAAGCGGAAGCGGGGAGAAGCGGGGAGAAGCGACGACAACCGGGGAGAAGCGGGGAGAAGCCGAAATGGCGAGAAGCGGGAGCAGGAGGCGGAGGTGGCGATCTTGCCACGTGGCCATCTTGTCACGTGGGAGGGGGAGGTGGCGAGCTTGCCGCGTGGCGAACTCGTGATTCCCACGTGGCGATCTTGTCACATGCGAGGGGGAGGTGGCGAGCTTCGTCGGGTGGGGTCCGATTGGCATTGCAGTTAGTCGGGTCCACTCGTGATTGCGGTCGCGTCAGCATGTGTGTGTGCGCGCGCAAGGAAAATGAGTGATTCACATCACTCAAGACAGCTATGACGCGTCTTAGATTGCAGTCGCGTCAGCATGTGTCTGTGTGCGCACAAGAAAAATGAGTGATTGAGATCTCTCTCCCTCTCTCAATCAATCAATCAATCAATCAATCAATCAATCAGCAAAGGGAAGGGGGGGGG